ACAGCGCTGAAGTTTTTTTTTTTTGAATTGCTTTCAAACTAACTTTTATCGAATACGCACTATCATCAGTCCGTATGAATGTTTCTGTGAGTTTCAGGCTGCTGCGATTTTGCCAATGTATACAGTGTTCTCTGCCAGCAGTTTGAAACCGAAGTTCGTTGATTATTCTCTTTTGAATGTAGTTTTTATCATACGTTTCTGCATTTATATGCAAAAGCATGTAGGCGTAAAAGGAGCTTGTGTCGTGTGTCCGGGCTCGTCAAGAGTATCTGTAACGGTGCTAGAAAGCTGAAACGCTGCGAGGATATTCTATGCCAGTGTGCGGCCGAAATATTTCAAATTCAGTTTTAAAGCACGCCTCGGCCTTGCATGTACGCAAATGTTTAGTTCTTGGCACTGTCGGCACCCGTTTAAGTGAGGGGGAAGCAGTTATTTTCCATGGATGTTTTGCGGTTCATGTGCCGGTCATCAAGCGTAAGATGAGCCCCTGCCTAGGCATGGACACTGCGTACTGGCGCATCAAATTTTCAAAATGCAACACCGCACTAGTATAGGCGATCTCCGTGTGGGATAGGATCCTGCAAAAATACATGATCGCATCGGGAAGCATGGTGCATTGCTACTAGGGGTTTTATGTACCGTCTAGTTCTCTGTAAAAGCTTTCGCGATGGTCTCGGAACTTGCCACAGGGCTGTTTTACGTTCCGCCAGTTCTTGGAAGTAGGGAGCATTAACTTCCCATAACAGGAATAATGTAGGCAGAAAAAGCTATCTACTTCTCTGTACAGATTATTCATTCATTAGGGCATATGCATCTTAGTTCTGGTGGCATAAAATGAGGAAAAGCGAGCGAATAGGTCTTGTCGGGGATCCCACATTGAGTATACTGTATGAGCACGATGAGGGAAGAGAACGGTAATTGGCCGTGTTCGAGGTTTAGAACGAGTTATTTGTTTTTTCAGCGAAGCAGCAGCTCTTGACGCAGCTAAAAAGGCGTTCACAGTACAGAACAGTGTTGC